CCTTCGCATGTGGTCTGCTTTGCTATTCTTACTAAATATATGGTATAACAGGAGTCTAAATCCCTCCTGCTGTAAAATTGCAACATGATGTAACACGACACCAGTTACCACGGTGACGGGTCATTGACCTTATTTGTTTGGAGAAGAAGAACAAACAGCAAAGTTTTCATAGGGAAATATAATAAAAGAATAAATAGTAAAGCTTCTGTGACACACAATGTCAAAATACAATATATTTGCAACAAGAGTTTTGCTATCACTGCACACATGCTGAAGAATAGGGGCCTCACAACTTTTGCTCCAATGGTTTTATCAAGTTATACAGTCAGTCTGTTGACTTAGAAACTGTAACTGCACAAATAACAGGATGGCGCAGTTCCAAATTTTATCTAACATCCCCCACAAATGACTTGTGATCAAAATTTCTGAGCTCACCACATCGAGGTTTGTGTTTTCGGCCACTTGTAGGAGAAGTTCGATCCTGGTGTTTCTTGTGAAGATGAGATCGTCGTCCACCCAGAGGAAGTAGGCCGTGGTCACCTGGGAGACGGCCAAGTTCCGCCCTGCAAACCAGCCCTGTAAAGAATGACAACCTTTATTGCACATTTTTCTTTAAAACATGGGTTAAGTACAGGTTACAACAAAACATGATGAACTCTATCTGTATAGCCGGTATAACTGCTCTTCGGTTTAACACACCAGCTTCTGTATCTGTATAGCCGGTATAACTGCCCTTCAGCGTAACACACCAGCTTCTGTATCTCTATAGCCAGTATAACTGCCCTTCGGCGTAACACACCAGCTTCGCAGGCACACGGCGCGGTGGCAGCTAGCTATATCACACCGAATGACTTGTTACACCTAACCCTTTAACATCTAACTCTAAACATTGTGTAAATCTATCTAATGATAATGCCCCCACTGTACTTAGTGACATCGAGTTCCACTCTGCAATAGTTCTAGGAAAGAGTGAATTTTTTTGTTGACAGATACAAAATAAAACTATCATCAGATAGCGCTTATTTTCTGATCAAACGTAGATCGTACGCATAAGAAGCTCTCTTCGCCAAGCCTAGAAGTAGTAGAGAATAGTATACCATCCCTACGTTTGATCAGGGCCCCCTTGGAAATCAGTTGTTTATCAACCGAAGGGGCGACCCTCAAGATTAATAAATAAATAAATCAGAAAATAAAAGAAAACTGGATTTTCCAACCGTATAGATTTTCATACCTTTTTAAACGGCATGATGTAGTGTTCTATGTTTGCCCCCTCGACCTTTTCGATGACGTCGCTGTCGTCAGCGATGATGATGGTTATGGTTGGGTAGAACTGTCGCACGCTGTCAATCAACTGTCGTAGCATGTTATACCTTAGGAAGGTCTTCGTCACTATGGTTACCTTTGTTGCAATGTCGTCTGAAAATGAAACAAAACACAGTCGTTAGTGAAGGTTAGACCTCCAGGTAATACATACCCTGGAAGCCAGAACTCATTTTCCGAGCCGCAAGAGCCCTTCGCCCGCTGGTGTAAATTACCGCTACGGGGGAGTTTGGCTGGCCCTACAAACGTAATAGGGCCGGACAAACCCCTCGGGCTCAACTCCCCCGTAGTGGTAATTTAGAGAGGCGGGCGAAGGGCTCTTGGCTGCCGAAAAAAGGTAGAAGGCACCATACTTTGTACATGTATTCTGTACTATGAATTAACTGCTCAAATGCAACATAGAAAGGTAACATTAATTTTTGCAAAGCAAATGTCAGAGGTTAGTGTTTGGAGAAGAAGAAGAGGAAACTGAGCAAAAACATTATGTTTTCCTTCGGTAGACATAATAACACCAGAAGAGATAACTAAAGGCATACCTGCTCCAGTAATCTTTACTATTAAGTACAAATGTATGCCTTACAAGTACTATATTGATTTAAGTCTTACATAGTGACATTTATTAACCATATTATTGAATCACATACAATTGTCTCCTTTTTACTGAAAATATCACCGTCAGGAAAGAAAATAGAAATTCACCTTGTGAAAAGTCAAATATCCGCAGCAGTGGTTTATGCTGAATTTGGATTGGAATTGTTTCCTGGAAGTAGATATACCGGATATCCACTGAGAGAAAGGAGAAAGGAGTCAGTTAGATGAAAGACGTTGTACCAAAAACTATCAGTAAGGTGATTGCATTTATCATATTGTTGCCCCCCCTGCAGATCCTTTTTTTTTCTTTCCTTTTTTTTTTATTAGACTTTGACAATCTCTTTTGATCCAACGTATACAATGCAGTTTGACAAAGTAAAAGCATGTAGCACACTTATATTTATTTTAATTTTTCAGTGTCAATGTTGGAAAACTGGTTGTGCAATATTTCATCACTCAGGTGTCAGATCATGGAGGTAGATCGATCAGCTCGAAAAAAAAATTCATGCCTCTTGCAGGGCTCTACCCAAAGAAAAGGCTAAGGTCAGCAGTTTTTTCTAGGGTCAGTAGGGAAACAGGAAACACAACATTTTTTTCCTAGGCCTTGCCGTAGCGTTGTAAATACCGGTGCAATGGCCAAGTGGGTAGAGTGTTCGCCTTGCATTCGGTAGGTCGTGAGTTCGATCCCCGGCCGAGTCATACCAAAGACTTTAAAAATGGTACATACTGCTTTCTCTGCTTAGCACTCAGCATTTGGTAAAGAGTATGGGAGTTAAACACACACCACTACCAGTGGACTATCCCCCTGCTGTAGTGACTTCTGTGTGTGGCCCAGTGCTAATGAACGGAGATGGGCGCCGCCCTATGCGTCACTTGACGCGGGAAGGCTCTTTAACTTTAACTAACCTTACCGTAGTCCACGGTGTCTGGATCGAAGTGTGTGTTTGTGTAGACCAGGAACTGTAGCTGCCTGTTGAGATGGTCCAGCGAGGGTGAGGACAGGGACAGGTGTTTGGTGCCCAGACCTTCCACTGTAACACTGGGGATGTCTGCCAGGGTGGTCAGCACTCCTAACTGGGCGTTGAGCTGAACCTGAGGACAGGAGAAATGTGTGTAACAGTGAGGTGCCACCGACGCGACTGACTTGTCTGATGCATGTAGGTCCTGGACCTTTTGGCTTAGTGGATAGGGCATTGGTTTTGTAAGCTGACAACCCAGGTTCAATTCCTGGGGCCACTGGGTTCTCCTTCAACGTGTACTTCTGCCTCATGTGTTTCTGTGTGCTTCATATTTGAGGACGGATCTTAAAAAGGAAAGGGGGAGTGGTGTAGCATTGAGGTTTCAAGTGCTACCAACATTACTGGCTTGCCTTGATAATTCCTGGACTGTTTGGACTTTTAAGCTAGTGGTTAGAGCTGCCATGTAAGAGCATGGGCTTTGTAAGCTGGTCCGCCGGGTTCGATTCCTGGGACCTGTGTTTTCCTAGAAGTTGTACAGATTTGGGGATGAAGGGGGAGTAATGTAACATTGAGGTTTCAAGTGCCACCAACTGACTCGTCTGATACTACATGTAGGTCCTGGACCTCTTGGCCTAGTGGTTAGAGCGTGTTGGCTTTGTAAGCCTGCAACCCAGGTTTGATTCCCTGGGCTAGGGTTCTCTAAAACTATCTACTCCGTCCTCTTGTGTTTTTGTGTGCTTTAGATTTGAGGATGAATCTTAAAAAGAAAAGGGGGATTGGTGTAACAGTGAGGTTTCAAGTGCTGACTCGTCTGATACTAGGTCCTGAGGTTTTGAACTTCCTGGCTTAGTGGTAAGAGTGTGTTGGCTTCATAAGCTGGTGACCCAAGTTCGATTCCTGGGGCCAGGGTTCTCTTTCAACGTGTACTTCTGCCTTGTGTGTTTCTGTGTGCTTCAGATTCGAGGACGAATCTTAATTAGAAAAGGGGGAGTAGTGTAACAGATTCAAGCGCTACCAACTTACTGAGTCAGACTCATCTGATACTAGGTCCAGGACCTTAGACTTGGCATAGTGGGTAGGGCATTGGCTTCTCCTAGATTGATAAGGCCTCACTACAACCTCAGTTTGTTGATCTTCCAATAAAAAAAAATCTAGATCTGAGTACAGTGTGTACCAACAAATTATATCAGTGGCCCATGTCTAACCATTAGCTTTAGCAAACTTTTAAGCCTTCACTAGGCTTTACTCACCTCCAGTATTTCCGTATGCTCAGCCAGTTCCTCCAGCTTTAAGCCAGGAATGACGATGCTGCCCAGTGGTTGGACCCTCAGCCCCTGTGTGGGGTAGCTCAGTGGAGACTTCCCGTTTGCAAATAGAACAGGAGTCGGTGGGGGAGCCCTGTGTGTGGGCAACATGGAAAATGGTCCAGTCACTGGTTCTTGTGTCGGAACGGTCTTTTTGCTTAGGCCACACCAATTTAATTTGTTGGTTCTCGGATTCGCCTCTTCGTTTTTTTCTGATTTGCAAAAAAAAATTGATTCTTTTCCTGAATCAAGTGAAAAATGCTCATGTTTTGCCCCCCAACAGGTGAGGAAAGTTCTTTTCTTCCTAGTTGTTACAGTTTTCTCATCTATCATTGCAGTGGTTTGATTAAAAGTTCAAAATTCAATGTTTAAATTTTAACCCAGCCTTTTGTGTTGACTTCATGGCTCATTTCGTACAATTTAAGCCTATAATAGGGTGCCTAGACCTGTTTTTTTTTTCGCCCTGTCGCTTCATATTTTTTCTGAAAAAATCCGAGAACCAACAAATTAAATTGGTGTGGCCTTAATTACTTTATCTGTCTACTTCTACCATCTGGAGTGTCAATATTGGTGAGGGACCGTTTAGCCTGGGTGCCATCCTCTGTAGTTTTCGCTGTCACTGGCTACCACTGTTGTACATCAGAGAGCCGGCAGAAATTAATGGAGGATCTCACCCAGGCTACATGTACATGTAGGTTAGCGGCCAACAGCTAGTCTAGAGGCCCTTGTTGTAGGAATGCCATACCTACTGTAGGTATATAATCAGGTTGTCCTTTACACTCTCTGACCACGTCTTCATGGGACGTCCCTTGGCCTTAGGTTCAGAGATTTGCTGTTACAGTAACACTGTTGTATTCTCTGTATGATACTTTTTGTGGTGGCATCCTTACAAGGTGTCCGAACCACTTGATATTTGTTGTTGGTCTTTTTGCAAGTGACCCATAAGTTTGCATAGTCGTGAATATGATGATGATAATGTTGTTCTAATTCCCATCTCTATATTTTGTCTAAGGCCACACCAATTTAATTTCTTGGTTAACGGATTCGCCGCTTCATTTTTTTCTGATTTGCAAATAAAAATAAAAATTCAGAATCAACTGCAAAATGCTCATATTTTGCCCTGAACAGTTGAAAACAGTCCTTTTCCTACTACTTGTTACAGTTATTCCATCTTTCAATGCAGTAGTATCATTTAAAGTTCAAAATTCATTGTTTAAATGTTGAACCAGCCTGGTGTGTTGACTTCATGGCTCCTATCGTACCATTTTGGGTCATAATAGGATGCCTAGGCCTGTTTTTATTTTTATTTTTTTTTTGCCCGCCCGCTCCATTATTTTTATAGAAAAATCCGTTAACCAAGAAATTAAATTGGTGTGGCCTAATCCTGGCTTCTTCCCTCATGACCTACATAAAAAACGGGCAGTAGGCCAATTGGAATATTTGATGAAAAAACAAAGGCTCGAACAAATATTAAGTAGAAGATTACTATTGACAAGAAGATAATCATTCCTATATGACTGGTTTGCTGAGCACCACTTACCTTTGTTGGAGTCTTTCTTTCTCCCTGTTGCGTCGGTCCATGACCTTTCTCAGCTCCTCTGGCTTGGAAGCGAAATCATTTAGGTAGTTGGAGGACGCGGTATGGTACTTCGGGATCTTGATCAGCGGATTTTCGGGCGGGCAAGAGCAGTTGCCATCCGTGAGAACTTGTCTACATTGGGTGGAACAGACAAAAGTGTTTCTGTCAACTCCTGTTGCTAGGGGTGGGTACCTGTATAGAAAATTCAGGTCCGGATCAGTTTCAGAAAATCAGGTCCAGGTCCGAACCTAAACCTGGACCTGATTATTGTACAGTAGCAGTATATAATAGTATATCATAATATATATAGAATGCTGACGATTCTTCAAAATTTGGAGCGAAAATTTACACTGAGTACATGTATAATGCCTGCTCAGACCTTGTGGCCCGGGACCTTTTTTTGTTGGCCTAATTGAAGCCTAACATATTTACAGAAAGAGACAAACATGGATTTAGGCTAATCTAGTTTGATTTGGGGTTATTGTCTGGTCAGATTATCTAAAGATGTGTGTACAATCTACTGTAAACAGAAACGTACATCAGGTCCGATGACCCGGTTTTCGCATTTTGTTTTTTGGACTCGGTTCCCGAATGTTGTTCCGGTCTAAACAGGTCCGGCTGAACACGGTACCCAGCCCTATACCTGTTGCTGCTGTACTGTAAATCATGAAGTTGTTTTATTTTTGTGGTGACTGTCCTCTTAACGCAAAAGTAAGACACTGGGAATATCTACTTTGTATTTCTATTATACTACAGAATTTTTTTCACTTGGGAACTCGGCAAAACTCATTTTTGCCATATACATGTACAAGAAAAATATAATGCCATATGCAAAATAAGAAAGTTACACCCCTTGCCCCTTCCCTGCATTTTTAATTCCAATTGCCCATAGAGAAGGCTTATAGATAACATGTAATACTATGTACAAAGTGAACTGAATTAAGGTATAATCAGCAATTGAGTGCCCATTTCATATTAAATGAGGCCTTGAAATACTGTAAAACTTTTAAGGTGGTTTTATTCTCACAGTTACCTCTTACAGTAACTGCAAAATCATAAAACTGTCAAGTACATGACTTCCTTTTTTTTACTGTTTTTTTTTAAATAAGGCCACACCAATTTAATTTGTTGGTTCTCGGATTTTTTCAGATAAAATATGAAGCGACAGGGTGAAAAAAATAAAAATAAAAACAGGTCAAGGCATCCTATTATAGGCTTAAATGCTATGAAATGAGCCATGAAGTCAACACAAAAGGCTGGGTTAGAATTTAAACATTGAATTTTGAACTTTTAATCATACCACTGCAATGATAGATGGGAAAACTGTAACAACTAGGAAGAAAAGGACTTTCCTCAACTGTTCGGGGCAAAACATAAGCATTTTTCAGTTGATTCAGGACCAGAATCAAATTTTTTTTTTTTTTTTGCAAATCAGAAAAAAACGAAGAGGCGAATCCGAGAACCAACAAATTAAATTGGTGTGGCCTAAGTTTTACTGTGCTACAGAATTGTTTTTCAACTGCAAACTTGAAAAAAAAATGCAAAAAAAAAAGATTTCCCTCTGCACAAAATAAAACCATTGAGAAGGTAAACATATTTGCATTTAGCAACTGTTTGCCATCTTGTTTGAAAGGTCCATGGTTACAGGTCTCGGTCAGTCGAGCAATCTAAACAAGGTAACAAAACAGCTAATCTATTTGCTGTCCCACCGCTGATAATGGACCATCAGTTATTGCTTGTCATGCTAATTTTGCTAACTCTCAAAGAGACAATCTTGTCATAAAAGTATGAATTATCCTTACTCATATCCAAAGCTGAAAGGTGAGCAACAACAGAAACTTTCTAAAAGTCAGAAACCTATTGAATGTAATGAAAAATTCATTGTCTGTTGTTTAAGTCAATACATTCAATTTGTTTAACCTGCCAAACCCTGTAAGCAAGAAGAATTGGTAGGCAAACAGCCACCTCAGTGAGCTTAATTTTGAACATCAAAATGTACTAAAATTGTGACTAAAATGCTTCCTTGTTAGATTTTCAAAACTTGACCCTTACAAAAGTATTATGTGGTCTGCCTAAATACTTCAACCGACCTCAGCCGAGCCTAATATGCTGTGTACATGGGTGATGAAGCCTTTCACAATATATGTAACGCTCTGGACACATTTTCTATGCCATTATGAATACATGTAGATATCACACAGTAACTCCTAAGTATTTGCAAGTTCCTTAACTTATAACTTCTGATAAATCATATTAAGTGGAGTTTAAGGATTAGGTTACCAAAACTTTTGATACGGCTAGTGATACTCGCCGCAAAATTCCCAAATAAGTCCATAAACAAATTCAAAGAAGTTTCTCTAAATATTTGATGAGTTTCCATGCTGCACAAGCTTTTTAATTACTGTATTTTGAGTAAAAATTTACCGACATGTTCTGACGGCTCGACACAAAAAACAAGATGATAGCGCATAGAACAGGGCCCACCATCGTTACACAATCTATCGAATGCTTACTGACCAACTGTCAAAATTGATCTATTGCAACAACTGACGATCTATAGATGTGAAACAAACTTTTGATTCATAAAAGTTGGGTTTTCTTGCGAAACGTACCTTGCAACAGCATCTTTCCACACGTAGGGGATGTGCTGCAGCCCGCCACCTTTCCAAGGAAAGTCTCGGTTGGCCTGTACCAAATTCCTAGTCCGCCATCCCGGGGGCACAAAGAGGACGGTATCCTTCGACCAACCGCGCTCCTTGTTAAAGTAGAAGGCTATGGATCCAAGGGTTGCCAGCGAAAAAAGGGCCACAGCGACTAATTTGGTCCTCCGGCGAACTTCCATCTCGGGATCACCGTACGTAGTTGCCGCAATCACATGTCGAAGCTCTGGGTTGCAAGTAGGTCACTTGGCTCTCAACCAGGTCTTCTTTCAAGACAAGACAGCAGCCGACTGTAACATGAACCAATAGAGACGGAGCTTGCTTTACTGGCGGGTGTGTTTGAATAGTGTTTTTTTTACTCAGCGGCATTCACCTGTCACAATGGCCACGCCCTAAGGCACTTCATTCAAACTATAGGCCTATGCGTATATACAGTATGCTATCCCCTATCCTCCTTAGTTTACGCTGGCTCCCTAACGCATGTGGCGAGTTGCCCATACATAATGGGAGGCAGCCACGTTGTAATGAATGTAGATTTCACATTATGTAAGGCCACACCGACTTAATTTTATGGATGACAATCATCATCCTCTGAAGAACCACTAAATTAGTGCGCGCGTGCGAATAAAAAAAAAATTCTGTTCAAAAATAAAAATGCTACTAAACCACAGGAATAAAAGCTGGTATTTTGAATTTGCCGCAGTACTTGGTGACGTATACGACATGCTGGCTTTTTGCGGACATTATGAAACGGCACTGTACTGAATTCTTGCGTCGTGGAGCTTCAGTAGCCTGGGTGCCCGGCTCTTTATTGTCGCTAACTACCATTTACTACCCAGACCTACATGTAGAGCTAATCTGCTAGGCCAAAAGTCCAGATCCATTGGACTGGGTCAGTTAGTGATGCTTGAACCCAACTGTTGCACTGCATTACTAAGTATTGCCTCGATATCTTTTGTAATTTGTAATTATTTTATATTATATAAAGGAGACACATATACATGTATTTATATAAACTTTAACCCACAGGAGCTCAACCAAAGTATGTAAAGTAAGTACCCGCTGGGGTATTGACATTTGCTGTGTCTAACCCCCATGGCCAGGGGTATTGACATTTGCTGTGCCCAAGAACCACAGGACAGACAGAGGCAAATGGCGAGCTACCATCAAGCTACTATCCAGTGTGCAAACATCTTGATGATGATGATGATGATGACTGGTTTATTCTCATACACAACTAAATAGACAGACAGGTTTAAAAGTCGGTGGCAGCCTAAATGGCTGAATTGTAGACTCTTTTACAATTTAAAAACTTGAGAATATTATCAAATAGAGACTCCAATACAAACACTAAGTCTTTGTCTACAATATACATAGAAAATACAATATCAAAAGTACGAAAAGCCTGTTCTTACCCTCGGTTACGGGGAACAACAGATGATGAACCAGATAGAGAGAGAGAGAATTTTCCTGTCCCTACAATGACACAGAGAAAGACAAGGTTCTTTTAAACCATGGCTTGAACATTTCTTGGTGAACACGCACTTATGTGTACTTTGTCAACAGTGGCATTTCATGTAGCTCTTACACCTGCATAGTTGTAGGATGCTCTTTCAAATATAAGTGGAATTAGCTTGAATAATGGAGAAGGGATCAGACCAGCTTTCTAGAATATAAGATGTCTCTCTCTGTCTTTCTGTCAGTAGAATGAGATTAAAGCCAGTAGGCCTGTCACACATTCACGAATTAGGCACTATCAACTGTAACCATATGGTTAGGAATAGAACAGGAGCAAGTTAAGCTGGGTGTGCTGGTGTTTGGCCAGGTTGGCTACTGTTCGGCTGCACCAATCGATTGTTTTAAAAAGTATGAAATATTTGGGTATGGAAAGGAGGTTTGGCCAGGGTTGATATAGTTGATATAGAATTTTATCACATAATGTTTATCTCAAACGCAGAAAAACTTTGCAACGTATGGAATAAACTAAATGAGAAGTCGACAAAACTTCAAATTTTGTATGTGACAAAAAAAATAGTTTCAAGCCCTGATATCTACTACTACTACTAGACAAAAACAATTTTCTTTTTTGCTGGTAACAGTTTTGTATTTTGGATCCTAACTTATATATAATCAATAAACAAGTATTGATAGATAGCCGAAGAATAAAGAATAAGGAATAACTCACCACACCAAAGCTGGAAAAAGTGGCTTTCTGTTAATTACTTGTATACGGTGGCCTTCATAAATAACTCTAAATCTTTGCCATAATGAAATGGAGTCAGCCAGCCATATTGTCGCTGGTCTGTCTGGACCTTGGACCAACAGTAGGTCACAATTTACTGAAGGAGATGAGCAATGATTAACAGTAATTGTTTTCCTTGGGATACAGAATAACTCACCGCACCAAAGCTCTGACCAAAAGGGTTTTCTGTTATCACAGTGGCCACTTAACCACTTAACAGAGGCAGAGTACAAGTCTGATCATATTCAGTATAAAGAGACTCTTTTTACACAACCAAGCGTTTCGGGCAGGAAGCTCTGGAGACAGCATACTTTACACTCATACACCCCAAATTGGAGTATGCCTCGGCGCTCTAATGGGTGACTTAAACAGCACAGCTAGCAGGATGTTGGAACAGGTCCAGTACTGTATATAATGATAATAATAATAATGGGGGTTTTATTTCAAACACTTCACAGCCCAAAGGCTGAATTACATGTCCCCTACATTGTATGTCCGAATTTTTCCGGAAGCCCATTCGGATTTGTTTGTACGTTTGTGGACCTGTTTTATTGCTTGGACACCGTCACTATGACAGTGATCTTGTTACTGGAGCCATGAAGGGTACTCCCAGCTCTCAACTTCTACAGGAACTTGAATGGGACACCCTTTCCACCAGGCAAAAGTACAACTCACTGGGAATCATGTACAAGCTTAGAAACGGACTTGTTCCTCCTCACCTACAGTCACTCGTTACATCCACAAGAGGTGCCCAGTCGACTTCAAGGCTCCAACTCCGTAACAATGCTCACCTCCACCTGCGTGTCCGCTGTGGGAAACTTGTGGAAATCGTCAGAAACGGACCACTCACATTTCCAATTCGTGTCCTATGGTGGAAATTTGCTTGCACACGGATGGGAAATATGTGGACACGCCTGGAAACTTCAGGTGTTTGCCTTTGTTCCACGAATGACTTATGCATAATTTCGCAGCAATTATCTCCAAAGTCAAGTGCGCATGCGCGAGCCTACACACCCGGCCACGCCTCAAATGTACCTTTTGTAATGGAAAGTAGCATCATGGCCACCTATCCCCTCCCCCCTTCTTGTTTGCATATTTTTATTGCCTTTATTAGTTGTAAATGGTGCTTGGGCTTTGTGTGTGCGTGTGAGCGCGTGTGTGTGTGTGAGTGAGTGAGTGTGCGTGCGTGCGTGTGCGTGCGTGTGTGTGTTTTCCAACTGGTCGTCAGGAGGTTCCGCTCTATATATGTATTTTATGCACCTCGCAAATTTCCAGTGTGCTTCGGCAAGTCTCTCAGCTTAGTTTGTTTTTCTACATGGTTTGCTGAAACAAACTGTAGGTCTCGACCTATTCGGATACATGATACCTTGCCTATTGCATTGGATCATGGATGATTGGATTATGTTTTGGGTACTTGCTCGGAGACTAGGCAAGATGAGCTGAGGAAGTATTTCTAACGACTGGAGTCACTCATATCTGCTCCCGAGACTGTCATCGTCTAAATGTCATGCCACGTATAGCGTTTAACACGGAAACTCGTGTACACGCCAGGTTTCACCAACGTGTCCAATCTTGGAAACTCGTGGAAATCTGTCTTTTTGTCCAGAGTTACCAACCCGATGAAACTATTCACGGGTCTGATAATCTTTTCTGATGTTGCTTGTCCGTATGGACTTTAGACTAATGAATTAATTGTAAAATAAACAGCGAGCAGATTATTTTTGGACTGAGCAGAGCACTTTGTACTAGTGCTTCTAGCTTTTTGCTACTTGAACCTACACATCTGATATTTTGTGGAGAGGTTCTCTGTCACCCAATGGATCATAATACCCCCCTGGCCCAGTGAGACCCTTCATGCTTCAATGAAAACGAAAATGTCTCGAAATAAGTCTCGCCAAACACGGGACCTCCGTGTAACGTCCTATCTGAGGGACGTCCCTAACCAAAGCTAGGTACTGACATTTCCACCTGAGTGAAGTGAGGAAAGTCGTGTAAAGTGCCTTTCCCAAGGGCACGAGATCGGCGACATGGTAGGATTCAAACCAGGGACATCTTGGTTCTGAGCCGATCACGCTACAATTTACGAATCACCACTACGACCCTGCTAATTTAACACTATCGTAGTGAGGAACAGGAACAGCCATTGTGTATTTCCCTTTCGTTTGAAATGCAGAAATAAACTTGGCAACATATGGAAATGAAAATAAAACCATTTTGTACATGAAAGAAACAAGCCCTGACTGACTGAATAAACGAAACGTTGTGCTCTCTGTATCTTAACCTGTGAACAATAATGAATTATTATATTACTTGCTGTAAGGTAAAAGATAACTCACCGCTCCAAAGCCCAGGGACAAAATGGTGCCCAGTTACAGTGTAGTTACTCATTGGCCAGAAGAATTGTAACATAGTTACTTATCAGTCTGAATCTTGGGCCTGCACATGCGTGTTAAACTGTTTGGTATTTTTTTTATGAGTTTGCTCAGTGCAAAGCCACAAAGACCACAATTTATAATCAAACTTTAATTTCTAGCTCTCAAAATGGTGCCCAGTTAGTTACTCATTAAACAGTTGCTTATCAGTCTGAATCTTGGGCCTGCACATGCGTGTTAAACTGTTTGGTATTTTTTTATGAGTTTGCTCAGTGCAAAGCCATAAAGACCATAATTTATAATCAAACTTTGATTTTTAGCCCTTCATGTACTTGTGGGTGCCGTTGTGAATCTATCTCTCATTTCATATAATTCCATTGCCAGTTGTACAATTAAAAAAGAGCAGAATTTCTTTTTAGTCTTGCTGAAATGAACGGTCATTAATATTTTAATGGATTATGAATAGTACTTCTGAAAGTGCTCAACTTCATCTTTTTCTCAGGGGATCTTGACTACTGTGACAAAATGAATGTTATTAACTCAAGCTTATAAGAGATACATGTATTTATGTATACCAAAGGAAAACGTATTGTTTTTACTCAGTTTCTTCCTCCTCCTCTTCTGTTCCAAACACTAACCTCTGACCTGGCCAATGACATAATTTGTTGACGTCTGTCACCATGGTGACTGGTGTTGGGTTACGTAATGTGGCAATTTCATGGTCTGCTCTGCTCCTGTCACCATATACTAGATAAGTACATGTATGCGAATGTGTTTGAGTAAAAATTAACAGGGCAGACCATGTCCGAAGGTAAACAATATGTATTTGCTTTGCAAATGTTACTTCTCTAGTTTCAGTGTTGTAATTCCTTTGATTAATTATTAGTACTTCTTCTGTTTACATGTTATTGCATGGAGAGGGGTTTTTTTCAGCACACACTTTTGTTCTCACTTTTATTCTTATTATGCAGGTTCATGAGATGGTACGATCCGACATTCTGGAGCAAATCCTGAACCGCGTCGTTACCAAGGCAACCAGTCCTGTCGCCCACTACATCGGTACGTCACACGATTAGAGTCTGACTTCATGCTATCATCACAAGTCTGTTGTTTTGCATAACTGATAATCTGCCTTTCAGTGTAACATACCAGTTTTATGCAGTACATGTAATTGGGGGGACTTTTCCGGATTCAAAAGCCGGGGCATGTGTCTCATAAACAAAAGAAGGCCTGACATTCTGATGTTGATATTTTTGTATTGTCCCAAAAATGTCCCAAAGTGTCCTTTTAGTTGTCCCAGCCTAAATTTTAGTGGGCAGTGGCCATTGGACCACACTTACCTTGTCTGCCCAAAGTACAGACTCCTTCGACTACCTGTACACACACACACATCTAATTCTGTGTGTGTGTGTGTGTGTGTGTGCGTTTGTGCGTGCGTGCGTGCGTGTGTGTGTGCATGCGGCCATGTGTGTGTATTAACTTAAAGCGTGACGCCTCCCTCCTTCCCCAGAGCTTCTGTCCAACACAGTCAGCACGGTGCCACAGACTCTGCTGGAGTGTCTGCCCAAAGTACGGGACTCATTTTCTCACCTGTACACATGCACACATCTAATTCTCTGTGTGTGTGTGTGCATGTGTGTGTGTGTGTGTGTGTATTAACTTGAAGCATGATGCCTCCCTCCTTCCCCAGAGCTTCTGTCCAACACGGTCAGCACAGTACCACAAACTCTGCTGGAATGTCTGCCCAAAGTACGCGACTCCTTCGACTACCTGGCCTACCTACCTGCCGCATGTGCCGAGGGCCTGCTCAAAGCCGTACAGGTGAGAGCCTTTTACTTTAAGTTAAAACCCTGCGGAGCCCTTATATATATAGGTTGCACACAGTACCATCTCTATAGTGCCCTGTATGTGTGTACGATTTGGGCGTGTATCTGCTGCACTGCATCACGCCATAGCGAAACACAACGAATGCAGATGAAGTAACTACGCCACCGCATGGCAGAAAAAGTCCAGGGACTATGACCTGGTTAAGACATCAAATGCCCTACCATTACGCCACTTGGATCATGATTCAACTGTTTGACTCCTGTTTAAAGTTAAAACTTTGATCCAACGCAAAGAACTTCTCTCACCTAGAGCTTTTGACCGGTCACTCTGGTCTTCCTCAGTTACTGTAGACTAACCCGGTTAGGCTTGTCGTGTGCACTGCACAAAAAGTTGGATTTACCAAAGGTTGTAAACTCAGCTAATGTTTACTTTCTTTATAGTATCTGGCTATACAATGGTGGTAAATGACAGTCAAGTTCACTTGACTTTTATTTATTACCGTGATTGTAAAGTTTAGAAGTGTTTATTAAAAAAAAGTAAACATTATCCAACTCAGGTGGTATTTACTGCCCTTGGTAAATCTAAGTTTTCGTGCCGTGGTGGCTTCTTTGAAGTCTGACGTGACCACTGGGTCAAAGGTATCTGGTAGATGATAATGGCCCTCATTGTGGTTGAATGAGTGTTGTGTTGGATCAAAGATTTTGACTCTAAACATGTAACGACCAACACAGATGAACTTTCATGATAATATGTGTTTTCCTTCTCCTGTTGTTTCCTGTTGCCCAGCCACTGCTGAAGCTCAGGGCATGTGACGGTCAAATTGTCGAATGCTAGGTGCTAGCCGCAACATCAAGCGGCCGGTAGCACTCTGAACAAAATGGACTGGTGAACTAAGTTAGTGTAGAATATCACTTTTCAGATATACCATGTGTGACCACCAAGGACTGGCCTACGCCGCGCAATGTGCGTCATGTGCAACAATTCCTTGGTTTGGCAAGTGGCCTAATGACAGGTTTTATCAAACCTCTGACTTGTTCCCCTTTAAACAAGGCAAGAAGGCAGTGGTGAAAATCGGCCAGAGAAATGATTCAACTGTTTGCTTCCTCCTTGAAATGATTATTCACCGCCAAGGCCTGGGTTCAATTCCTTGCAGGTGTGGGAACCGGTGAAACCATTACGAGCAAGTAGAAACAGAAAAACCCCTGACTCCCAGGACACCAGGAATCGAACCCGGGCATCCAGCTTACGACACCAGTACGCTAATGACTACTCCAAAAGGTCCGGACCCATTGGAATGGATCAGTTAGTGGCACTTGAACCTCACTGTTACATCCTTTTGTTTCCCGTTGCCCAGCCACTGCTGAAGCTAAGCATGCCCCTGAAGGAAGGCTGGTGCTGAGGAAGGCCATGTTCTCCCAATACTAGGTGCTAGCTGCAAGTTCAAATGGCTGGTAGCACTCTAAACAAAATGGACTGGCGAACTAAGTTAGTGTAGGAAATCACTTTTCAGACATACCACCAAGGACTGGCCTACGCCGCGCAATGTGTGTCAGGTGCAACAATTCATTGGTTTGGCAAGTGGCCCAATGAAAGGTTTTATCGAACCTCTTGTTCCCCTTTAAACAAGACAAGAAGGCGGTGGATGAAAAGGTCCAGAATTATGATTCAACTGTTTGTGTTCTCCTTTTCTTTGCTTGATTCCCAGCCGCTGTTGAAGCTGAGCATGCCCCTGAAGGACACCCTGATGTCCTTTCCTAAGGGCAACATTGGGGTATGTACATGAAAGTGGATTCGAACCTAGGACCAATGGGTTCCAGGCCAAATGCCCTACGCCTGACATCAGTGCCACATGGATCATGATTCAACTGTTTGCCTTCTCCTGTTGTGTCCCTTCTCCCAGCCGCTGCTGAAGCTCAGCATTCACCAGTCCAACTTGTCGACACTAGGTGCTAACCGCAGCTTCAAACAAGAAGGCAGTGGATGAAAATGTCCAGAATTCAACTCTTTATCCCCTTTTGTTTCCCATCTCCCAGCCGCTGCTGAAGCTGAGCATGCCCCTGAAGGACACCCTGATGCTGGTGCTGAGGAAGGCCATGTTCTCGCGACAGGCCGACGCCCGCAAGGTGGCCGTGACGGGGTTTCTCATGATCCTGCGCCACTTCAGGGTGCTGGGCGGCCTCCCCTCCAGCCAGTCCTGCAGCCAGTCATTAAGCTTCTCATTCAGCCAGGTAAGAACACACTGATTTAATCCTATAGATTGACATTCGTGTGTGCACTGATGCCCGGAAGGTGGCCGTGACGGGGTTTCTCATGATCCTGAGACACTTCAGGGTGTTGGGTGGTCTCCCCTCCAGCCAGTCCTGCAGCCAGTCACTAAGCTTCTCATTCAGCCAGGTAAGTTACTGTAAATCAGCACGTCCGCAGAATGTACTGCACCTGCGCAAAACCCCGATTTTTCACGGTTTTCGTCCGATTTTTGGTCAACGTTGCATCAGAATTTTGCCTGTTCCAGACAACATCTTTTCCGACATAACATTTGGATACTACGGGTAGGATGTTAACCTTATATACTCGAATATGGCCTTACATGAGATGTTCTACCGAAGTGCTATGCACAATACATTACAGGTTTTGCACAGGTGCAATACAAAATGTACGTCATGGTGACATGCTCTGTAAATCAGCTATATTTGCTGGGCGGTCTGCCTCCAGCCAGTCCTGCAGTCAGTCATTAAGCTAAGTTACTGTAAATCAGCACGTCCACAGAATGTACTGCGCCTGGGCAAAACCCTGATTTTTCATGTTTTCGTCAGAATTTTGCCTGTTCCAGACGACATCTTTTCAGACACAACATTTGGATACTACGGGCAGGATGTTAACCTTATATACTCGAATATGGCCTTACATGAGACGTTCTACCGAAGTGCTATGCACAATACATTACAAGGGCACATTGTCGGGGCATGTTGGTGGAATCAAACCCAGGACCCAAGGGTTCCGGGCCGAATGCCCTACCACTACACCACACGATGCCACAAAGAACTTTCGGAATAAAAATCATTTTTTTAATTGATGTATTTCCAACTATTTGTGTTTAGGTGCAGGTGGACATCCACACCCCTCCCAGCAGTGCAGGCAACGAGGCTCTGTGTCTGGAGATCCTGGGAAACCTGCGGAGATGTCTCACTCAGCAAGCTGACGTTAGGCTCCTTTTGTACGAGGTACAGCCTGTTTGTTTGTTTGTTATGTTTACCTTCTCAGAAGGAAAACATATTACCTTCGATGCCTACAATATGTGTTTTGTCAGCAGAAGGAAAACGTATTGTTTTCGGTCTGTTTTTTCTTCCTTTTTGTTCTATTCTTCTCCAAACAAATAAAGTCAGGACCAGACGTCTCTCACCATGGTCACAGGTGCTGTAGCAGACACACAATGGTATTAGGTTACATTATGTGGCAACTTGGATGGGCTAATCACTGTCATGGTACAATGTAACTGACACTGTAGCAGACACCCTGTGGTGTTGGGTTACATTATACAGCAGGACAGAGGAGCATGCGGTTTGACCAACTAATGGTTGGGAATGTATATGCCATAATCTGTCAGGTTTTACCATTTTTCAATATGGCAGATATACATGTAAGAGGGCTGTTTGCTTTGCAGGGAATGTACGATTTCCTGAGCAGGAATGTTAGGCTAGACCACGTGAAGGTAAACATTACAAATGTTACCTTTAAGTTAAAAGTTTTCAGTTTTTATTTTTCGTTTTCTCTTGCAGGGCATGTACGATGTCCTGAGCAGGAACCCCCACCTGGGTCCCCCCATCCTGGAGACGCTCCTGTCACAGTTCAGGCGGTACTACGAGGAGGAAGATGATGTGACGCCTCCCCTCCAGCTGGACCCCTGCATCACAGCACAGGGCGACCAGGTCTTCCTGATGGAGCCTCTGGTGGGCAAGATGTTACTTTTATGCTATTTTTGGCGGTGCTTTTACATGTATATTCGTGATTTTCACAGTCTATTCTGTACCGCGAACTTACCATTTCCGTGAACATATTTTTCCGCTGTCCGCATGTCCATTTTTCTCAGACCGCGAATTTTGAAAGTAATTTACAGTACCTTCGCAGAAGGAAAACATATTGTTTTGGCTCTGTTTCTTTCCTCTTCTCTCCCTTCTTCTCCAAACAAATAAAGTCAATGACCTGGACCAGACGTCTGTCACCATGGTAACTGGTGCTGTAGCAGACGGGGTCACCTGCTTATGCTAAACCTCTGAACTCCCCCATGGTCACCTGCTTAAACCTAACCTCTGACCTCTCACCCCAGGGTCACCTACAAAAAATGTATCTATTGAACCTAACGTCTGACCTGTCACCCCAGGGTCACCTCCTTAACCCTAACCTCTGACCTCTCACCCCAGGGTCACCTGCTGTGCGCCATGGTGCAGTGCCTGTTGAAGTGCCAGCAGCTGGCCAGCGAATCAGAGGAGTCGGAGGATGATGAGTCGCTGGCGGCCGTCCAATCAGAGCTGGGCGCAGTCCTGGGGTCTCTGACACGCAGGATGATCAAGTGCGAGATGGAGGACTTTGAACTGGTGAGGAGTAATCTCCAAGCAGATATTTTGGTGGACAAGAGACAGTGTCAAATACATGTAGGAAAGACAGTGTGAAATAGGCAAGACAGTACCTATATGCCAATGCTTGGCTAGCGAAGAAAATGATGCTGATATAAAAAATAAAGCTGATGGAAATGGCTAAAAACACGCAGAAAATAAGTCTAAACCTAAGCCTAAAAGATGTGCAGGATCAGCAAGAAAATCACAATAATCAAGAAATTAAGACCATCTGTAAACACTTCACGGAGAAGTGAAATCTTTATTGTCTTGTCGAGGAAGTGACAGTGGAAGAATCCGCTTGAATCAGCAAGAAAATCACAATAATAGGGAAATTAAGAACATCTGCAAACACTTTAACAGAGAAGTAAAATGTTCAGTTTCTTGTTGACCATTATTCTCCTGACCTGCAGGACAAGTCAGCAGACTTCTCCATGAGCAGCGGGGTCGGTGTGAAGAACAACATCTTCGGTATCCTGGTCCTGGGGCTGTACGAGGTTCTGATGGAGAACACATGCATGGCCGGCGACTTCGGGTAAGTCAGGTCAAAACGTCTCTCTGACGTTTTTTATTTAAGTTTCAAACTGCAAAGAAAGCTAATCCAATGAAAGCTCATCTGTGTTGGTAGAATCCATAGTAAGAGTTCAAGCTTTGTTCCAACACAAGAAAGGAACTCACCATCAATCTCGTCAACCTTCGTCAGATGTATGATGCACTCACTGAATCTCCGGAGGTCGGAAATGTGATGATGTAAGGTGTGGCAGGAAGAGAGAATCTCCCACCATCACAGTTCATCATTTGGCCATGGTTGTCTGGTATTCGGCTGTAAGTGAGCAGCACACCAACTAATCATTCGGCGGTATGTCAGCACAGTGTTGTGCTTTGTGTGCGCTATAATTTTATGTTTTAAGTTCTTCCCTTTTCTTTCCAGCAAGGAGTCTTGTGAGCAGCTCCTCCAGCTGTTCCTGAACTACAACAAGCTGGCAGAAACCATGAAGGAGAAGACAGCCAAGGGCAAGTCAGGAGGGGCCAAGGTCGCGCGCAGTCTTCTCACCATCAGGTGTACCACAAGGATCCTTCAGGGACTCTTCAGGTATGTTGAGAAAAATGACCAGAAGGTTGAATTTGAAAATCCAGTTTTGCTCCCTGAGGTTTCAGTTTGTATCCATTGCAAAATTACGTCACAAATCTCTCTCTATCTATCTAGTTCAACATCTTTTTCCCCAAAACTGGGGGTTAGACATGCTTGCATCAAGTGCAAGTCTTTGAAGCAAGATTTTTTACGGCTGAATGCCCTTCCTGACGGCAACCCAAAACCTAGTAGAGCCCAGGATCCCTCTAACTGAGGGGGAAAATACGTGTTAAGTGCCTTTCTCAAGGGCACAACGTCTGGTGGCATGTCCGGACATGTCTGGGTCCAACCCTGGGGATTGAACCTGGGTCCCCTTGCTTGACAATTGGATGCTCTACTACTACACCACACAGATGCCACAAATACATTTTCTAATTTCTCACGTCTTTGTTGCAGTGATGACGTCCCCCAGCACCAGGAAGGGCTGTCCGTGCTGCGGGAGAACCTGGACCTGGTTCGCTACATCGTCAGTGTGGCGCAGCAGAAAATCCAGCAGGTCTGCGACAAGGGACACACAGACGGCAGCGAGGGAAGCAACAGGGACAAACTGTACAAGTACTGCTGCACCATGGCCAGGTAGGCTGGGTTTGGTCTCACTCTAAGCTTAGGTGGACTAAGAGGTTGGGAGTTTGAATCCCAGCCAGCTGTTGTTGCTTACCTGACATACATACATAAACCAAACCAAACCAAACTGGAAAGGTTCGCAGTCTTCAGGACACAACGTTAAGCAACAGGGACAAACTGTACAAGTACTGCTGTACCATGGCCAGGTGGGTTTATTCTCAGTCTAGAGCTTAGCTGGACTAAAAGGTTGGGATATCGAAACCCAGCCAGCTGTTGTTGCTTATCCGACATACATGCTACTGGAAATGTTCTCAGTCTTTTGGATGGGACATTAAGCAACAGGGAGAAACTGTACATTAAAGTATTGCTGCACAATGGCTAGGTACTAGGTTTATTCTCACTCTAGAGCTCGTTGTAGCTTATTTTGAAGCTTTAGATTTAAAAAGATGGCATGCATAGTCCAGTGGTTAGTAGCACCACTGGACTAAGAGGTTGGGAGTTCAAATCCCAGCTGTTGTTGCTCACCCGACATGCACAGTCTTTAGGACGAGATGTTAAGCCGTGGTCCACTGTTCATTGTGCTTGTCAAAAAGAGCTACAGTAGATGAAGGGGAATCTTCCTTAAATTGCATTGGATGCCTTTAATGAGATGTTGTTTTCTTATGCATGCAGAGTTCTCCTGCGGAAGTTCAGCAGTGACCTGCAGACACGTGGAGAGGAGGGAAGGAGGAGCAAGGTAAAGCCGCTCACATATTCAGGACCTTCCCACAACTTTGCTCACTATTACTCCCCAACCAAGGTTGATCTGACATCTGACTTTGAAATGCTCTGAATAGTCTGAAATGTCATCCAGGTAAAAGCGGACACAGAACAGTACAGTAACTACTTTCTGAGAGGGGTGGAGAGGCCATTTAAACCAGGACCTATCGCCCATCACATCATTTATAAGATACCTTTGTTGACGTCACACTTCTGAACAATCTTTTGTGTTGGGACAAATTAAGTTTTAACTCTTAATTTAAACATCTACCATTCTTCCAGTGCGCTGTGTCTGGAGGGTTTCTTCACCATATCATAAACATCTCCTGCATCTTGTGTTGGAACTAACGTTTTAACTCTAAACAGTCATGTAACTACCAACACAAGATAAACTTTCAGGATCACAGTATCTGTGTGTCATTCTTGTCTTCCCACCCAACCGCAGGGAAAGGCGATCAGTGCGCTGTGTCTGGAGGGTTTCTGCACCATCGTGAACATCGTCTGCAGCAGGTATCCTGACCAGGTGGCAGCCTTCCTCACACAGATAGGTCAGTATGTGCACAGTGGTCCTGTACTAGTAAAAGGCATCCAATTGTGTGATTTCATTGCTACTAGCAAAGTTAACTTTAACTTAAAGTCCTCCCCGCAACCTTTGGTATGGTTGCTTATGGTGGTGCCCATCTCTGTTTCTGTAGCCCTTTGGGTCAATTTCTTAGAGTTGGAGAACAGTTTAATTTTACTATGTAAATTACTAAAATCAGATCTGTTGTTTGTTTGTAGAACCAGGAGGAGGTGATGATGATAATGATGAAGCAGCCACCAACATGGACGACCAGGAGAGAGTCAACTTCCACATCAAGAGGTTCCAGGTAGGGACTGATTTGGATGAGAGGCTGGCTAGGACATCTCAATTTTGGCTATCGTAATATCGCCAAAGGTGCAATGTGTCACTCCTCTAACCCTCTGAAACATAGCATCTGTCTTTTCTGTCACAACCAGTGGGAAAGTTAAGTTTGAGGTAAACTGGTTCAGGATTTTCTCACAGGTACATGTAGAAACTAACACAACCTTATCCAAGGTGGCGTCTCAAGTTCTCAACTTTTGAAAATGACAAAATAGCTGCTCGGCTGAGGCAAGGAGAAGAGCCAGAAAAGCTTGGCAACAAAATGACTGATTGACCAATCACTTTACCCTAAGATTGGCTTTCAACACAAGTACGTAGAGTGTACATGCTTCAGATCATGATCCTATGTCTTTCCCAGCGTAAGGTGGTGAACATCGTGACGTCGTCAGAAGATGACGTCAGCCCCTGCAATGCAGTTCAGCTGACAGGGAGCACATTTACTACTTTTTGTTTGAACAGTGAAATCCTTTTTACCCATGTTAGGGGCATATTAAACCAGTGAGCTTGTATGTACATTTGTACAAAGTGGTCAATTTTAGGGGTAATTCATGCCCTGCTACTGCTATGTCTTTCCCAGCGTATGGTGGTGAACATCGTGACGTCCTCAGATGACGACGTCAGCCCTCGGGACGCTGTCCAGCTTGTTAACGTCATCTCGCTGCTGTCACGACACCTGCCACCGGACAGCGACCACCTGGTACAGCTGCACGCCTGGGTCAACCGGCTGTGCACAGAGCAGAACGTCGGTAGGTCATTTGGTTGGGATTGTGCCAATGGCGTAGTCCATGGGGATTACACTAAGGGATGAGGAGATGGGCTGCCCCCTTTTGAGGACACCAGCATGCATGTACTCTCCAAGCAGAAGTTTGGGTTTTGGGGGTATTTTTACTGTGTTTTTAGGCTTTTTTATCTGGGTTTCTCTTTTGCACTGAATTTTTTTGGGTTTTGGTGGGAAAAAAAATTCAGTGCAAAAGAGAAACCCCGATAAAAAAGCCTAAAAACACACTAAAAATACCCCCAAAACCCAAACTTCTGCTTGGAGAGTAGCATGCATGCACTGTAGCCTACTCAATTCCGAACAAGAAACAATCCGCCATCCTTCCGTTTGTTGCTACCCTCCCGCCGCTCCCAAACTGAAATAGGCTCAGCACTTGCACAACTTGGCAGTCTTCATACACATGGTGCTCAGACTCAGAGGTTTCTTCATTCTTGATCAAACTTCTGAATTTGGCCAACATCTATCCTTCAAGACAAAATTATGCCCACTTGTCCTGCTTATGCGCACACAAATTCAGTCCAGATGACTCTATGTCGATGCATTGTGAAACTAATTGCAGCACTAATTTGAGTTGTTGACGGACCATCCTGGTTGACTCTCCCCAGATGACAGCGCGATGACCAAAGCCCTGCTGTCCCTGCTGTTCAGTCTGACAGCACAGACCTGCACCAGCCTGACTGTCCTGAGAGACCTGGCACAGGACGTGCACAGTCAGATGGGTGACATCGACCAGGTGAGGGACATCAAATGTGCAAGAATTTTGAGTAAAATATTGAACTTCATTCCCGGACCAACACAAAGGATACACAGAGATCAAATTTTCAACAACCACTGTCGCCTTCATCAGGATAATTAATGATCGTCATGGTCGTTGAAAATTTAATCACAATGAAGTTCAACATTTTACTATGATTACTACCAACACGATTGAATGTTTGTGCAATAATTTTATTTGTTTTCATTTATTTTGTTACTCATGGAACTCCAGAAAACAAGATTTTTGCTTCCAAAAGAAGAAATATTCTGGAGGAGGAAGTCTGAAAAAAAATCCAGTTTTACTGCCCTGAAATCGCTTTGTGTACCTTTACCCTCCCCAGGATGTGGAAGTTGAGGACCAAACCCAGTTTGCTGTAGTAAACCCACGCACAGCGACCCCCGTGCTGACCCTGGTGCTGGGGCAAGCGGACCGCGTGCTGGAGGAGGTCGACTGGGTCATCGGCAAGATGAAGGCGGAACTGTCAGGCAGCAGCCCTACAGCTGACGGTAGGGCTTTGTCTTATTTGCTTCGATTTTCACCTCAGAACACTTAGGCTCAAGTAAGAACTGCTCACATGTTTTTTCAATGCATTTTGTCATTGGAGGTTTTACATGGTTGTGTTCTTTTTTAGCATCTCTGTTTCTTCCAATATTATATTTTGTTCCTTTACTGAGACACTAGACTTGGAATCAAGCTGATGTTTCGATGACCGTCTGTCATCTTTATTAGGGCTAATATGACTAGTTTACTGTGCACTGTCGCAATTGTTTTACACTTGGGACTGCATTGTTACAGCTACAGTAACATTTGGCTCCAGTGCACAGTGCACCATGTAAATGCAGAGCATTCGGCTCAGAAGCTGAACAGTAAATCAGTCTAGTTAGCCCTGTTGAAGATGACAGACGGTCATCAAAATGTCAGTTCTTGTTAAAGATAAACAAATGGTTGTGAATATAGAACTTTGCTATTCAATGTTTTGGAGCATAATCAGACAACATTGTTTCCTATTCCCTTTCCAGATGCCCCATCCCAAGGCCCTACCCAGCGTGAGGGACATGAGAAGTCTGTGTGTGTGCGGCTGGGCACGCTGGTGACGGCGTTCCATGAGCTGGTGCAGTCTGCCATCCCCATGGGAGCCTGCGTGGAGGCTCTGCTCAAATCTCTCGTCAAGCTCTACAACAACCTCACACTGCTGGCCAAATATGTAAGTCTGTACAACAACCTCACACTGCTGGCCAAATATGTAAGTCACTGGACATTAGCACTCAGTACAACAAACAAACAAACAAACAACCTCACACTGCTGGCAAAATACGTAAGTCACTGGACATTAACACTGTACAACAACCTCACACTGCTGGCTAAATATGTAAGTCACTTGACAGCAGTATGTCAAGTATAAAGTATTGTATCTGCGCGAAAACCCGTAATGTACATGTATTGTGCACACTACTGGCCAAATACGTAAAGTCACGTCGGCAGTATGTTCAGTGCATGTCTGTGTAGTCCATTGGTTAGCAACCCTGCATCTGAACCAAGAGGTTGGGAGTTCGAATTTCAGCTCTGTTCTGAGTGTTCAACACACACGCACGCTACTGGAAAGGGTCACAGTCTTTAGGACGGAACGTTAAGCTGTTCATGTGCTTGTCAAAAAAATTGGAGGAATTTTCCCGGTACAATGAACCTGTAAATACATGTAGTGTCTGTCTTTGTCACAGCCAGTGGACAGTCTGACAGACATCAAAATGTAAGCAGGTGAGAAACACTGCTGGTTGTGTAAGAAAAAAAACACCCTAAATCCTGTTCCAAAAATTTTTCCCTCCCTGCAGTACCTTGCGATGTACACCCAGCGAGCCGGCCACCTGTCCCCCAGGTTTGAGAACCTGTCTCATCAGCCCTATGCTCTCATCACATACATACATACAGGTCAGAACACTTCATGCCAGTGCTGTAACCAGCCTGAATTGTTTCTAACTTCTGCCCCCCCTCTCCTGCAGTACCTTGCAATGTATACCCAGCGAGCAGGTCACTTGTCCCCCAGGTTTGAGAAGCTGGTGAAGCTGTCGGGAACACACCTGTCCCAGCAGGCCTACGCTCTCATCACGTACATACAGGTTTGGATACTTTGGATACTTTATTCAGTCCATCAGCTATCGTACACAAATACACAGCTAATCTTCCTGGACCGTAAAAACATAGAACAAGGACATACAAATGTACAAACTACAGAAAGGATAACATCTAGTATTTACAATTACAACATGGTTAATCAATTAGACTCGTTGATATACATCACAAGCTCCTGCGGAAACCTACACGTTTGTGCATTTTATTTTAGATCATACTCAGGTCTGTGGCCTGTTAAACAGGTGTCTCCTTGTGTACATAAACAAATACATACATGTACATGTACATACTCGAGCAATAGAACAGATTAATTACATTGACATAAAAACCTTCAGACCTTGCTCATTTTTAATCTTGATAATCGAAGTACAGGCCATCGGGTCCTCTGGAAAATTTGTGATATGATTGAAAATTATATGATGATTGCTGTGAGTTCCTTGCTGTTGTTTTTGTTAATACATTTGTATTTAGATTGCATCTTGTAAAAGGAGACCATTTGTAAGCAATTCTGGCAAGCAGAGCCATTTTATAGCTTCAGGGAACTGCAACATAATCTTTCTGAAATCTTTTAGAGTAGTACGTGTATGCCTAATGACACTAAACAGGATCTATATTGTCCTCTGACATTCCAGGCTGCCCAGAATGAAAAGCTGGCCCAGCGGGACCAACAGAAGGGGAAAGGAGGGAAGAAAAGGGACAAGACGTCGTCAGATGCAGTAGGACAGGCCAGGAAGGTACATGTAATAACCAGACCACAGGGGAATTTCCCTGTACAATGAACCTGCAAATACTGTACATAGCGTCTGTGTTTTTCTCTGTCACGGCCAGTGGGAGATAAGGTCCTCAGTGTGGATCGAGATCACTTTTCACTTTTCCACTTTCCAAACTATCCTCTAGACACTGTGAACTAACAACTTTCTGCCCCTACAGCCTCAAAAAATAGGCTATGGGACTATCTTTTGTTGTTGTTGTTCTCAAACACTCAATACTGTTCCAGGCCCAGATTCTTCTTCTGGGAGAACGAATCCACCCTACTATATATTGGGTCAGAAAACAGAGGAAGATAGGTCACAATTTTGCCAAGTAATGCTTTGAGTTGGAGTTTAAGTTGAAGCTTTGAGTTCTCATAATCCATGACTCCTGTTTCAGGCGCAGGTTCTTCGTGAGACGAAGTCGATCCCCGTCCTGGTGTTCCACATCGAGCAGTACGAGCGCTTCCTCATCCAGCTCACCAAGAAGTCAAAGGTCAGTGTTGTAGAATCTGTTCTCTGTAACTGCTTTGTTTAATAACTGACGAGAATTATGTACATTTAGGACTGCTTTGTAGATACAGTTCTCTGTAACCACGCATATGTGTAGATATGTAAATATTGTACATTCGGGAATGCATCTATACATGTAGCAGCAACACCTGTGCTGCTGTGCAATGTGAACCAGTCAGAATATTGCCCTGAGGAAGGTGACAGACGATCACCGAAACGTCGGCTGTGAATAAAACACTTGGTTGTGTATAAAAGAGTCTCTTTAGTGAGTGTCTTACCAACCTGATAAAACTATTCAAAAACTGAAGAAAAGTGTTTCGACCACCTCAGGTGAACCTGATGGAGCACATGAAGATGAGCACGTCGCGAGATTTCCGCATCAACACGGCGGCCGTGCAGATAGCACTGCAGGAGGAACAGGAGTCAAGCTCAGAGGAGGTGAGGATTGGTTTTTTTTTTTTTATTTATTGAAATTGTAATAATGCAATACACGTGGGACAAGGCAGCCGTTTCTGGTGTTGTGCCCACACATACACAATACAGGACAGGACATTATTCTCATTTCACTTGAGCTAAGTGAGGAAATTTGTGTTTGCCAAGGCACAAGGTTGTTGACATGGCAGGATTCGTACCCAGGACCTCATAGTTCTGAGCCGAATGCTCTGCCACATGACCCCACAGTGGGATAAAATGTGTTGCTGGCAAACTTGCCTAAGCATTATTTACTGTCACTCACTCACTCACTCACTCACTCACTCACTCACTCACTCACTCACTCACTCACTCACTCACTCACTCACTCACTCAGGAGCACTCTGACCAGATTTAGGCCACACCTACATTTGTACTTTTGTATATGACTCAAAACAAATTTGGGTTACATTGGAGCCAAATTTGATCCCTGAACATGCCCTGAACACTTCTGTTTTGCTAACTTATGGTCGAAAACCAGAAAACTATGATGGAACCTCTCAAGTGCCTCACAAATGTTGTAAACATTTTGAAACATCCGACCCAGACGAAAGCCAGCCGACCCACTCCTAACCATGGGTTGGTGGGCGTTCGGCTAGCATTCAGGAGGCGAAATTTGTGAATGTGTGACAGGGGCTTTAGGTTCCTGATGATTCCCATGTTTTACCTCAGGAGAAGGAGGGGTCAGATGAGGACAGTGATGGCCAGGAACAGGAGAACCAGCACCCCCCAGCAAAGAAGGCGAAAACTGCAGCAGGGAAACTGTCCAAGGGGAAGGGGGGCAGAGCCAAGAAAGGACTGGCAGAAAACAATGAATAATCACAGACAACAATTGTGTTGAAGGACCAGACTTCCTTTTGCAGTTCAGCTTTATGACTCACCATCTTATTACAACTGTTGCGACTGGCAGAAACCAATGATTAATCACAGACATGCCTGTAGCCAGGATTTTGAATAGGGTGGTTCTTCCGACTGCTTGAGGCGACCAGCGAGCGCTGTAGGCGCGAGGTTCCTTGGGGGTCCGGGGGCATGCTCCCCGGAAAATTTTGAAAAATAAACCTTCGGAAATAACATTTCCTGTGTTTTTGAAAGGATTTCTGATAAAAAATCAGAGATAACTTTTTATTCAATGACAAAGTAGGCAGTTTTTATACGATTCCAGGCCCACTCGTGATACAAATCAGTCCATCTAAATAGAAATCTTGGACCTTTAGATAAAAATTGGACCAAAAAGTGGACCTTTGAGCCTTGTGGGGGGTTCTTCCAAACCCCCGAACCCCCCTGGCTATGGGCATGACAGACAACAATTATGTTTAAGGAATTTTACAGTAAAAGTAAGTACTACAAGACCAGACTTACTTTTGCAGTTCGACTTTATGACTCATCAACTTATTCCAACTGTTTCGACTGACAGAGAGCAATGTTTACCGTAAGTATAGCAGAAACAAATTATGCCAAAGGAACTCAAGTTTAAAAAACATACCTTATCTGATGGTACTGGTATGCCACACCAGTGGGTTCATCAGTTGAACACCACCCGTCATGGGGAATTTCGGCCCTTGGTTCAATATTCTCTTGGGGTGCGGATTGTTTTTTTTGCCATATAATTTGGAAAGTGCATGTAAGTACTGCAAGACTACCTTTTGCAGACAGACTTTATGGCTCACCAACTTATTCCAACTGTTTCGTTTGTTATGTCAATTTTGTTCAGATATATGATTATACATTGTACTGTATCCACACATTATTTCTAAATAAAAATTAAGAGTATATTCCTAAATGTCGTAACTCAAAACAGGATATCTTTTATGTAGATAATTATTATCATTAACCTTGGAAGAGGTGATAAACTCTAAACTTTATACTATTTTACGTTACGGCATGACTAATAAAAAGTGCTGTTGCATCAGTATCTTCTGTCAAAGTGTGATATTTTCTTCACAACAAAAAAATAGATTGAAGATACATGTACGGTATGTTTTGTGTACGTAACCTACATGTAGCTGGGATTTGTATGGTGATACTATACAATAATATTAAAGTTTTTATACCCTTCGGTTCTGTTAAATGGCGGCCCAGTGTGTTACCGGTTTCCATTTATTTTGATAAGGCCACACCAATTTAATTTGCTGTTTCTCGGATTAAGCTGTCCATTTTTTTTCTTATTTGCAAAAAAAAAAAGATTGTAGGTTGTGAATCAACTCCAAAATGCTCAATGAAAGACAATATAACAATGCAACAATGTTCGTCGATGAAGGTTAGACATCCAGGTAATACGATACGCCAAAAAAACAGTTACTCAAGCAACTGGATATGATTTGAAATCATATG